GCCGCCAGCCGGCCGGGCCGGGGTGGCCTGCAGCGCCGGGGCCTTCGCAGCACCCCAGACTTGGCTGTGGCAAAACGCGCTCCGTGGCCGGACTCCACTGACGACACCGTGGCATGGTCGGCAGTCGTGCACACACTGACTTGACAATTATCAATAGAAAAGAGATTTCTGTTTTCCTTTTTCTAAGAGAATAAAAACAGGCCTATTTGTCTTTTTAATTCGCAGTCCAGCTTTGCGTCCCCCCCGTTTAGATGGGAGGAGGGTTTTTTTCCTGCACACACCGTCTGCAGAGATCACTGAGCTGCAAGCCACTGACTTGCTTTTGCCCTGTCAGCCAGCCCAACAATTCAGCAGCATTGCAAGGGGTGCAGCCACTTCTACGTCGTGCGACCTGGGGCTGCCGCAGCTTGCAGGGGAAGTGAATTGCTCTGTAGCGGTAATTCAAAGTGCATATTCCAGATGTTCTCAAAAAGGAGTTTTAATAGGAAAAACAATCTCTGCCTCATACGTTTCAGCGTTACAGCTACAAGCTTCAACCTGACAAAAAAAAATCCAAACGCTTGTTAACATCTAAGTAATCACATTTTTTGCAGTACAAGGGGCAAACAATGATTGTTTCCTGTCTTTGAAGTGCTTTTTTTTGGTCATGGCGGCTTTAACTTATGAGGTGCTAAATGTTAGATAATTGCTAAGGAAAATAGTGAAAATGTGCATGCTAAACCCATCAATGGTGTCTCTGCAGTTTCCCTGGGCTTTCTTTTTAGCATACGAGAGAGGGCTGTAAGTGCAAAGGCCCTAAGCAAAAGCCACAAATATTCAATTCTAAGTGTGCAGCATTGATTCTGGTTACGTTGCAAGATCTGCTTCAGATGCCTTGCTGATTAATGTGCCTATTCACTGTTCAAGAAGCCCAGCTATATAAAGAAAAGAGAAGCTCTTCCTGTTTGAAATTATTCAAGAACTATTTGCATTTAACCATCTGCCAAGATACCCATTGAGCACAAGCTCCCTTGCAAGTTGGACTTCCCTATAGCAATTGAGAACTCCCTGTACAGACACATGTAACAATTGTATCTATATCAAATGATAGGGATATAAAGCTATTACTGTGTAACTGTCATATCTGCACCCTCCTGTACAGATACAAGTTTAACCACTGCAACTTGAATCCTGGTTTATTCAGGATTAAGTTTACAGCAATTTAGCTACCTTGGATTGCTGCAGGAGCATGCAGGCTTAACAATACATCATAAGTGCTGATGTGCACTCCCAAGCAGCTCAGCCTCCCCTTTTAATGTGGTTAAAAGTTATGATTGTCCACAGTATGTATCATTTGTGGCTCTCCCCAGCCATTTGTATATGACTCAACTCTGACCAAAGCCAAACCCCTGTGAAGGTATGGAGTCCCCCATAAGTCTATGTCTAGACACATAGTTCACCTTACAGAATTAATGCCTTACATCAGAAGGACTTTGGGTTAGGAACAATATCTGCTTCTGTGTTTGTTCAGCACCTTGCACAATGAGCACTAATCCAGATTTGGGATGTTAAGTACTGCTGTAATGTATGTACTTTCTAACTATAGCATAATAGCCTATTCTACATGAGTAGTGGTTGTAGAATCTGGCATGATATATCATATTAAATTGCATATATGATTACATTTACTTAGAAAATGGAAATTATCTTCTCTTCATTGTGTGTATACATCTAGCTCAGCATCTCTCAAGAAGGTGCAATCCACTTCTTTGCATAAAGAAACAGAAGAGTGTTAGGCATGATACTGAAATTCTCCCACTTGCACAGACTCATCCAAATTACCTCTCTGATGAGATTACTAAAAGGTAACAAGCATGTCTGGCAATGATGAGGAAAATAAAACCTATTTTATTTTGATTCTGAGTGAGTAACCCTTCAAAGCATGGGTCATTGCCCAGCCCATGTGCTATCTGGTAGAAAGCACACAAAAATGAGGACACTTACCAAATTCCTGTTTCATGACAATATTCATAGAATTTGAAATATAAATAAAATTGCAAATCCAAATTTGACGGTGGGCACAATTTTTATTTAAAAATATCACCTCTTAAAGCAAAGGTTGTGATTATAATAAACTGCAATATCAAATAGGAAAGAAACATATGTAAATCATGTTGTATTTTTTAAAACCAGAGTAGGCAAGGAAGTCTGATGTAAAGCTGCACGAAAACTTTTTATTCAGACATCTTCTGCCTACACTTCTCAGCACACAAGGACACCTGAGGTTACACAGAACCTCTTTATAAATGATACTACAAGTGGTGCATGTCAGAGAAATGATTCAGCTACTCATGAACATGAGGAGGAGCAGAAAGCACCTGATTAGAGAAGGGGGCTGGATGTCACTATTACTGGCTCAACTATTGAGTAGATGCAGTATCCTTAGCAACATTGCAACCTTTCAGTGCCTTGGTTTTCCCAGCTCTGAAATGTGTATAATATCAACCTCTTAAAGATGTTCTGAAGCTTGTTTGTCAAATGATTTGGGATAGCAGAAGTAAAGTGATAAGAGAGTTTTCTGAATGTTGGTCAAACAGCATATATATTCTATATATACAGGGCTTAGTCCATCTGTTTGTGTGTCTGTCTGTCTGTAATGCTCTTCGGAGGTGTGGCTCTAGCCAGTGCTGCGCATGGGGGCAAATTGCCCATCAAGAATGACAGTGGGGATGGAGCAGAGGGGTGAGGGTGGCACAGGGTGGCGGTGGAGGGGACGGTGGGGGCAGAGTGAGATGGCGGAGTGCTGCCATGATGGAGGGGCCTTGCTGTCCCCGTCCCCCCACCCCACTCAGCCCTGTTTTGTGGTGGCGGTGGCGGCATAGCGCTGGCCTGCCATTATTGCAGTGCTCCATCCCTGTCATTCTTGATGGGCAATTCGCTAGTCTAATAAATATTTTGCAATACACACACACATTGTGTAATATATATGCAGTTAAATGTATGTGTATCTATAGATATATAGATATAAATATATAGATATATGCAATTAAAAAAAAGAGAAAGGCAAAACAGAGGCAATTTCACATGTTGCCATATATGCTCAAGCTACAGTTTAGGTTTCTTAAACTCCAGACTATTAATTAGATGCAGGTAGTACAGGTCAAATCCTTATCTTACTGAAATCTATTAAGCTTTGGTAGGACCAGTATTTGATCCCAGGGGTGTGTCCCGATGAGCACACACGAAGTTTGAGGCACTGCAAACTATGTGTGACGCACATGCACCCATTTGCCACGCTGCTAATTTGCAGTGCTGAGATTTTGTTGATGCTGGGAAATCGGGAGATCCTGGTGTAAAAAAAATGTGAAAAAAGCCGCTGAAAAAAGTGGTATGGTGCATGTAGCAGCAGTGTGCGCTATGAGAAAGGGAGCCTGGCCATTAGAACCATGCTCTGGCTGCTAGCCAGGCTCCAAGTGGCGACCTCAGTGCGGCTGCTGCCCTGGGAGGCCCCCAGGACCCCAGGTAAGGCTGCTAGGGCCAGCACAGGTGCTGTACCCAGCCTTCCCTACCCCACCCAGGTCACCTTGCCATGAGTGTGCAGGCAGGGGCATGCCCAGGAACAAATAGCACCAGCACAAATATGTACATTACTATTTGCCATTGCTATTTGTCCCACAGGAAATGCATGCTCATCAGGACATGTCCAAGGGTACTACTATGTTGTGTACCCATTGTCTCCACTACCTGCAGAGTATTTGGACCACTGAAAAATACTTGTTTCAGTGGTCCAAATGTTGTATCTTGGGGCCTGTCTCAGAGCAAGGAAACTTTGGAAGAATATTTCATTTGGATGTTTTGTGATTTAGCTGGAATCCTCTCCTGCAAGCTGCAGGGCAAGCCATTCTGGTATTGCCATTATCATCAGAGACTGGGTGGAAACAGAAGTCATATTTTATTGCCTTTGTGCCACTATAAAAATTTCCATGACAGCATAAAGGCCAAGCAAACAGATGTCCATGCCCCTTGTTATGCCACAAGTGCCCAAAATTTGTGGCTGTGACAAAGGTGATATTAATTTTTCCTGCTGTTTAGCAGCTGGCATCTATCTGCTCTGTGGCATAAAAGCCTGGGCACCCCAGAGCTGCCTACACTCTCCATCTGGTGCTCCAGAGATTTGAGGCGCCTGATTCTGTACATTCTGGAAGTTCTCTGGATTGGGCCCCTCAACCTCTGGGCACACCTCACTGGCTTTCTCCTCCTACAGAGAAATGCCCTGGGGAATCTTAGGGCATGTTTCTGTAAGCAGGGAAAACCAGATTTTCCTGTGTGGAGAGATGGGCCCCTGGGATCTCCCTCAGCAACAGCAGCTCAGCCTGTGCTATTAAAGCAGCAGTAGTACAACCTGCTGCTCAAGTGAAGAGCCCAGGAAGCCTCTCCCCCTCCCTCCCTACCCTACTCTACTTTCCAGGAGTCTTTATAATTCACCCTATCCTCCCCCCCACC